CAGGCCTACAGGGAGGTTGGATGTCAATAAAGATCGAAAAGAATTAATCAAAATCTTCACAGATGAGCTTGAAGGATTGTCTGGGACCTTGGACACAACAGCTCTACAAATTAAATAAGTAAATAAAACAAACAAAAGCTCCAACTTACTTTGTGTTTCCACAGCTTTTAATTTTTTTTTTTAATTTTTTTGATTTACAAAGCAGATAATATAAAATCAAGTCTGCTTCAGTTCTCTGCCGTTTTTGGTAATAGAATCAGAAGAGTTTTACTTTTGTCTTTTCTAACTTTTACATTAAGATCAAATAACCCCTTGGTTTAAAAGAGTACTTTGACATTTTGACAAATTGACTTATTTGGTTTATTGCTGGGAGTCAATCTTATGTCTGGGGTCAGGAGGTGATTAGCCTAGCTTAGCAATAAAGAGTGGAAGCAGGGGGGGAAACAGCTTCCCTGGCTCTGTCCAAAATTCAAAAATACACCTAGAAACACTTCCAAATCTCACTAATTAACACTGTTAAAAATTAAATTGTTCATCAAGAAATAATTATACCACATAACTACATCTAAAACCAAAAACTGTAGCCTTTACATTTCTGTTTGTGTACATGTCATAAAAACGAGATACAGTTTATTACCGAGCTTTAGAGGTGTTAGTAGGTATATTTTTGAACTTTCCATAGAGCCAGGCTAGCTGTTTCTGCTTGTTTCCAGTCTTTATGCTAAACTAATTGCCGCTTGACTCAAGCTCCATTCTTAACACATGAACATGAGATCGTTATTGATCTTCTCATCATACTCTCAGCATTTAAGCAAGTAAACATATTGATGAACTGTTCCTTTAAACATTGTGTAATATGCAGTAATATTCACACGTTACAAAGTTTCTACAGGGACAGAGTGGGAAATAAATGTAATAAATTTGTTTTTTGTTCAATTATACAGACACTGCAAGCTTCAGAGGCAAAAATTCTGATATGATTATGTAACACTGTCCCTTTATATTAGTTATTTTTTATCTGTTTGGTTCCCTAGATTTGATAATGTGTGAAAAAATGAACTTTATTTTCTACATTTGATTTTCCAATTGCTCTGGCCTTGGTTTTGACTATGTTTCGACTCCCTTTAGACCTGCTGCAGACTTGAACATGTCTGAATCTGGTCTGACTTGGACTTGAGCCCTGGTCCAGGCCTTGACATCAGGACGCCTGCCCTGGATCGACAGGCTGAACAACCTTCCATGCATGCAGTCCTACAGCTGCATTCACAGGGAACAACGAGAAGGTTTCATGCAAATTTGGATCATCTCTTTGTCACGGTAGATATGTATCATGTCAAAATGTTACAGGCACTTCATCAAGAGTATTACAACTGTATTACATCTGTAGCACAATCTGATTGTCTCACATCTGTAATACAACCTGGGATCTCGAACGGAGCATGCAGATGTGTAACTACAATAGAAATCCTGGGAAATATTTAAGAACATTGAACATTTACTATCTTAAAAAATATAGAATAGATATTATAGATTCTGTACAACGAGTCGACATGCATAAAATATATCAGTCTGTGCAGTAAATATAGTTCATGTCACTATTCACACTCACAACTGAAGCCTGTAGAATAGGAGTGCTGACATCAAATCTTGTGAGGGGTCATGACTTATCTTCCCAATTACAGTTTATTTTAATAAGAGCAGGTCAAAACCAGGGTTTAAATAACTTGTCAATGAAAATTACAACCAATAAAGTTTTGTAATCTACATAGTTTTGCCACAATTTTTTGTGCTAAAATAAAAAATGAAATTTTCTGTCTGGGGCTCATATTTTTGTTTGTTTCTATTTCACTAAGGTGATAATAAAATTCTGTTTGATACGTTATATTTAAAGACACACGCAGTTACATTTTTGCACCAACACAACCAAACTGCTTCGGACTTTGTTGAGTTCATTTTAAACGTCAATGGGCGAAACCGAAGAGACAGTTTAATGAAATCGTCATTCTAGCTAAGCTAATGCTAGGTTCACAGCATGTGAGAGAGAAGCTAATGATGGGAAAGATTCCCATAGTTACTGAAGGTGGCAGCTGTTAGTCTCATTACTGCGGAGTCCAGCTGTCCTAAATCGGACATGCTGGATCTTTCAGAAAAAAAACTGTTAACACCAGTACGATGTGAACGTCGCATAATTGCCAATCCTGAATTAAATTTAAGATACTGTTTGCAAAACCCCTTCCCGACATGGGGATAGTCACATCATAGCTTAAAAACCTAAATCTGACAACCTCTGGTCTTTTTAATGTTGCAGATGGCAGCCAAAGAGTCTAGAGCGTGGTGTTATATTTTGCAAAACTGTGAAGATTCAAATAAAACAATCTATTTGTCTGCTCTAACGTAAGACACTAACATTTGCATACCCGGCTAATTAGCTCACTATCTACAATTGTAACCAGCAGCATTACCTCAACGGCTAAGCGTTAGCATATTGTGTACTACTGTGCTACTGTATTAACTGTCCAAACAGAGTCATACTAAAACTGAATACGAGGCTAATACTCACCGAACTCGAGGGCTAACAACAATACAAAGAACAATACTGCTCATTTATTCTAGTATTGTCTACATGGATCGACTGGTGAGGATGCCAACATTTAACGTGGGACATGGCTTGTTTAGCTTTTGTCTTTTAGCATGCATTAATTGGCTAGCTTACTACAGCTAACATCTGCTATTACTATAAATTGCAGCTATATGTGCAGTTCTAGAGTGCAAATCTTGACAGGCGAAGCAGCTGGAGCTTGATGATTGTTGTTTTATCGTGGGTAAAATGACAAGGTGCTAAAGTTTTACCAGCAAGTACAGTTGCTAAATATCGATTCACTTTAGAAGCTAGTAGCGGCTAAGGTCTCCGTCACTCAGTTTTGCTGTCCTCTTTGACTCCTCCCATGTAGCCTTAATTCAAAATGACATTATTTTGTTCTTTGACAAATGTTTATGTACAAAAATAAACATATGAATCAGTAATGTAATCCACATTTGCTGTAAATCCTAAAAATATGCACGCCAATTGGCTTTTTACAAAACACCAAGCTAGCTGCAGCACTCCTATTCTTCACCAATGCTTCGTTTATACCTGGAACAGTCATCATTACATATCTGTAGCTTAAACATGAGACATACAGCACTTACAGCTTGTTTCCTGCATTTAACAGATATAGAGTGAGTCTATTCAATTGTGCCCCTCAACATATCATTCATTCTGAATGAAAGACGTTGTTTTCAGTCTTCCCTGAATCACCTACAACAACAACTACAACAAATAAACCGTGTTCTCACTAGAGAAGTGTTTTCGATGGAGTTGAGCATTTGTGTTTTCTTAACAAGCACTTGTACACGTTCATTGTTATCTAGGTAAACCGCTGCAAACATCTGCTTCACAATCCATCAGATTTATGAAATCTGAAGTTTAATGAAAACTAGTTGTGTGTGTTGATGACGATGATGAAGGTGATGGGTTTGGTAATGAAAACCAAATATTCTTAACCATGTATGTTCTTCTGTTGTGAATCAAACAGGTCATGAGGTTTGCTGTAACTGGATATCTACTTATCCACTTCAACATGTGTCTCCTGAAGTGGATTTATAGTGTCCGTTTTCCTTGGCCAATAAATAGGATTATACAGTATATTTAGTTAGACAACTTGCACAAAAATAGGTTTGTTAATTATACAAGAAGAAGAAGAAAAAGAAATTGTAATGGCTAATTCCTGGAAATATTCATGTTAGGATTATGTAAAATATCTTTTTAGTTTTTTTAGTTTTTCAAATGATAATAATAATCACCAATAATAAAAATTTTTTAGTGCTTCAAGCGGCAAAACCAAAGTTGTATTCATGTCTATCCATGTATTGGGGTGGAGGCTGACGTCTCTTAAAACCAAGTCTACAACTCTGGATGGCTTGATGCCTTTAGGGGCATGTGGGACAGGTATTTTGTGTGATTTGGGTGAATTGACCCTTTAATTCACATGAAGCATGTGATTATGGGCGTCTAACCTCACCTAATTTGTTATGCCTGGGTTTTCAAAATGAATTACAGACTGTCATCTCTTTAATGAAAATTGCATTTTTGAGTAATTTCCTGCTTCCGATCACAGTTTCCAAACCGAGCTGCAGTTCATCTTTTCTAAAGAGGCTTTTTTTATCACCTGTCTGAAGAAAATCAACACATCTCTGCCATCGGTGCATGAACCCCTGAAGGTTTCCGAGCTACAGTATCTGTCTACACAAACAGATATAATCCCCCCTACCCCCACCCCCCACCTCCAGGGCTGAGCTGCTGCCTCATGACTCAATGATGCTCAGACGGGAAAAGGATGAGCATTACCATCTTCACACTATACGATTCTACAGCTGTAACTACCAATTACCACAGACAGAAGAGAGTGTGTGTGTGTGTGTGTGTGTGTGTTTGTGTGTGTGAGGAGGGGGGAAACACACACTTCCAGGGTAATTCATTGCATGTTATTAACAGCTGCAGTGAGATATTTAAAGCCTCTTTTCAGCTCAGCGTTGATGGGTGTTGGAATGGGCTTTGACTCGTGAAGGAGACTGAGCCACGGCCAAATAACATAATTCAGTGTTGATGATTAGGGTGTGTGTGTGCGTGTGTGTGTGTGTGTGTGTGTGTGGGGGGGGGGGGGGGGGGGGTGCTCTCTCATCCCACAGGGGTTAAGAGTCTCCAGCTGCTGGTCTTCCTGCCTGTAGTGGCATGAGTGTCAGGAGAATATGAATGAGTGTTGAATATGAATGAGACGCCTTCCTCCGCCTCTACTTGAATCATGAAACATCTCCACTTCTACTCATGGTTCTTTCTCCAGTATTTCCTTCAGTGGGAACAAGAATACTGACTTCACCATTCGCTCGTCCACTAATCTTTGGATGATGCAAATGAATTGATGAAAATTTCAAGTTATCGTTTATGTCATTTATCAATGACAGGAGGGAATATTTGCTGTTTATACCTTCTAAAATGTAAAGAATGGTTTTATTTTTCTTTTCTTTAACGAAATCAGTTAGGGCTTTTGTATCCAGTCCTTTCTCAACCTTGAAATCTAAATACAGAAAAACACTGCTGATAAAGCATTCAAATTATGTGTTTGTTTTGAGTGCAGACAAATGACCGCCTTTCTGGGTGTTCATGGGAAAAGAAAAATGAAAACACCCAAAGCAACGACAGGGGTCTGTCTGCAGACTGCAAGAGAAGAGTGTAACTCTAAGTGGGCGTAACTGCAAGTCGTCCAAATCACACACACCCACACGAGATGTCAAAACAAGATGTTGTTGGGATGATGGCAGATCGTGTGAAGACAACGATAGCTGGACACAAGAGGACAAAGATGACTGTTTCAAGCCGGTTTCTCTATGGCAGATGTGTGTGGACAGATGTGATGATGGTGGATGTTGTGCTGATTCTGTCGACTTTGAAACCACATCCATCTTCCAGTCCGCAGATAAAACCAAGGCCATGTTTTTCTTCTTCTCTTTCAAACTTTCTAACTAAACAATTAACTCCCTTCAACCTTAAAAAGAAACTAAACCCTGTTTGGCAGGCAGCGTTACGCCTCCAGCAGGACGTGCCAGCGGCAGACCTGCTGTCCTCGACTCTCCTTCATGTCCTGCCAGTGGAGCTGCTCCTCCTCGCCGCTGCTGTTCTGACCCAGAGCGATCCAGCCCACCATCTCTTTGCGCTTCATGCTGCGCCGGTTGTAGATGGAGACCAACAGCGTGACGTCCGACAGCTGGAACAACGCCACCTGGAAGACAAAGGTCTCCTTGTAGACGGGGTTGGGCTGGCCACGGCGCACCGACGTCTTACACCGAGAGATCTCCTGACCGACCGAGTTCAGCAGAGTCAGCCGACCATACGTGTCTGGAGGGGAGGAAGATGAGGGGACAGAGATGAGGAGGTGGAGGGAAGAAGGAAGAAAACATACAAATGTAAGTTTGCTACTTCTTCATCTGTCATTGGATCTAACACTCACTAGGAACACCATACTAATCCTCCTGGTTGACTGGCTCATTGCATGAATAAACAGGTGTACAGGCGTTCCTAATGAAGTGCTCGGTGAGTGTATGTGAGTATGGTGTTTGTGTTTCTCTCTGCAGACCTGGTGGTCTGTTGATGGCCAGGTTTCTGAAGTGGCTGCCCTTGATGAGCTCCACAGACATGCGTCCTGTGGTGGCGTTGTAGGACAGACCCACCAGCAGCTCAGGGACTCCACCGTGGGTCAGAGACTGAGTGGACGAGGCGCTGTCGCTCTGAGACACCGCAGACAGACTCAGCTGGGAGTCCACACTCTGACGAAACACAGAGACACGAACACAGTGAGTTCACAACAACAGAAGAAGTGCACACTCTTCCTGTTTCTTAAAAATGCTGTACACCTATGTTTGAGTCACCTTGAGGTTACTGCGAGGCTCCAGTACCAGCGTCGTCTCCATCGTCCCTCCGTCCGGGTCCATCCCTCCTAAACGCAGCACCTTCTCCCCCATCATCCGCTCACGGGACATCCTGCCTCCGAGTGCGTACAGCCTGAACCTGATGGCCGACATCTGCAGGTCTGAAGGCTCCAGGCGCGAGAAGCGAAACTTCTCGTTGAAGTGCGGCAGCGAGCCTTTCTGTACCGACGTCTTGTGCCGTTGCTTTTTGGAGGGAAGCAGGACCATGTGCACCTGCCAGGAGTCCATCCCGCTGCGGGCCTTGTCGGGGATGTCCCGGGCCGCGACCACAGAGACCATCAGCTTCTCCGTATCGGGACGGTACTCCAGAGAGAGGACCAGGTCTCCACATTTGGAGATGGGGGGTCGAGGGGAGGAGGTGACTGGCTGAGATGAAACCTCGTCGTGGGGAGGCTGCTCTTGCTGAGAAGGACAAGAGAGAGAGAGAGAGAGAAAAAAACAATTTTAAAAGTCAAGCTTATTTATTAAAAAAAACAAAAACAAACTGTAGTTCAGGTGTACCACATAAAACGATAAAAATTCAAAGCACTTCTGTTGTAAGGGGTTGTGCTGTACTACCTACGGTAGTAATGGAAGAACTAATGTAAAGTCATAATACTCTAAAGTAATGAATTTACATGCTTCTAAGACAAATACACAGAATGTAAAGACCCTTTTCCACCTACTGCACCAACATTAAAACATTCTGTTGTCCACTGGGTGATCAATGGACAAAAATACTAAATGAAGAAATAAAAAGCTCTGGTACAGGTGAGAATGAATTCAAGGAAGTCTTCAAAAACAGTGACAGTGAAGTTCACACGGTTCGTTTTCTAACCATGAGCTTTTCTCTCCTCTTACTGGGCTCGCTGCTGTGGTCTATTTATGACCAAACACACAATCCGCTCAGAAACGAACGGAGAGGCAAGAGAACGAGGACAAACAAAGAATCATTTGGACATTGATTCCTTTCAGCCCACGTGTTTCCGAAGCAAAGCCAGTTTGAAGATAATCTTATCAGCTGAATGAGCAGATTCACCCTCTTCTGCAGGAGCTGAAAGGTTATTCAGGAGATCTTCTAAAGGTGTAATTTCCACTGGGGACAGTTTGAGTTTGATTTATTCATTAGACGCTGCACAAGCTGTGTCCTGTGACTGTACAGCTGCAATATAATGTATTATTTTAGAACAAGAAGCTTATAAGCAGCAGCAAGAAGTTTACATTACAGGGAGAGTTATGTTTCTCCCTCTGGAGGAGTGGGATAAGGTAAAAATACAAGTTCCCCTATTTGGGGAGAATTTTGTTGAAAAGAGTTTTGTCCAACTCTTCATGACTCGTCTGCAGAAGCGACACAGAACAACTACTTGTGATGGCTGGAGGCAAACGCCTGATGAATAATGCAAATCATCGCTATATATAACTGGTCTGACCCTGATTTGATAACTTATTGGAAGAGTACGCACCACACTTCAGAAGAGGTATTCAGAACCTCAATCCCTTTTAATTTAGATTCAATGTCCCATATCCGCCGTACACAAGAGCTCACAGGAGATAAACCGGAGATAAAAGCCGTAATTCTGCTGTAATCTGTAACTGGCTAAAACCTGAGGCTCCCCTGATGATGATGATGATGATGATGAAGATGATGATGATGATGATGACTGCACAGAGATCGTTTACCAGATCTTTACCAGACATACTCCCTTACAGTACACCAAGGTGGAAAGGTAAAAGTGAATTTTATATTAAATATACTTACATAACTTACGCATATTACCATTTTATACTTGTTTGTACACTCATTGGTTCTGTTTGGTAACAACAGTGGATGCTTACGAAATGTGGGACTTCTTCTTTTCTTGTTTGTTTTAGGCTTTATTCATGTATTTCTTGACATTGCCTTTTATTTTTGACCTACTTTATGAATTTGTTCCAAAGAAATACATTTCGGATATATTATTAATAGGATAAACATGTCAATAATAGACAAACTTTATATTTTTTTCTATATATAAAAGTTTAAATGTGGATCTGATTGTAAGCTTTTAATTTATGGGGATTTTCTACTTTTCAATCATGATGCAGGCTTGTGTAAAGACTCTTTTAAAATGGTCAGTGGGGGAAACTGAGCAGAAATCCGGTCATAAAGCTGCTGCTCCTCCTCCTCCTCCTCTTCCTCCCCTCTGCAGCCAATCTCAGCCTCCCGTACAGTCAGCAAACACAACATCGATTGTGTCGAGTGTTGACAGAGCGGGGCTGAGTGTCGGCGTTGACATGGCAACCAGAGAGGAGATAAGATAATCACAGAGCTGCTGCTGCTGGAGTCTATTGAACGTGCGGGTCAGGAGGTCCACGCATGAAGACGAGAAAAACACAAAGGCAGACGCTCACCTGTGGACGAGCAGAGGCTGCGAATGTTTACTACGTCTTCTTCTCAGTGCTACAAGTTTGTTCTAGCTGTATATATAAATAAAATGAGGATAGCAGGCGGAAGTATCACACCAAAGCTTTTACTCGTTTATGTTGCTGTTGAGGATACATTTGCCGCAATTTAAAAAGAAATCTGTGAAAGAATCCTGAGTCGTTTTGGTTTTCTGAAGGTAGTTCATTGGGGTGGCTTTTTTCTTGCTTTTAGTAGAGATGATCGTCAGGACGACAGGAGAAGAGGAGAAAACTGTGGAAAATGTGAAATATCCCGTCAAACTCCATCTGTCCAAAGTAGCTACTGTCACCCCACCAACTAAAGATGCCACTGAATACATCAGTTGACCGACTGACCGACCGACCGACCAACCAACCAACCCACCGACCAACCGACCGACCAACCAATCAACCAACCAACCAATAGAGATTGTAGAAGTAGTTTTACTGGTGGTGGGGAAGTTGTTACAGTGATAGTAGAAGCAGTACAGCTGTAGTACTGTAATCGTTGCAGTAACAACCGTAGTAATTCTGGGAGATGTAGTAACTTCCTTATCAGTAGAAGTATCGTGAGTTGCAGAGTAGAGCTACAACCACAGCCACTCACTTTCGGTACCGGGTACTTCTTTTTCCATTGCACTCCCTCAATGCGGCATCATTACTATAGCAACGCACAAAGCTATCCTGACGCCATCTTCAACGTGACACACACATAAACGATGGAGGGTATCAAAGTGAAACCCAACAGAGAAACACTTGTTGTTTGGCGTCTTGGCTGATCATGTCCAGAACGTCCCGTCGCGGACAACAATGTCTCCTGAACCTTGGCAGAAAAGTACCGGATACCGTCCAAAACTTTTACCAGATGGAAAACCAGAGGAGGCGAGTTGAGTCGAGCTGGTACCATGCAGTGGAAAGGGTCTATTTGATTAATAATATCTGTATGGGTAAGTCTATTTACAGTAGCAGTACTTGCAGTTATCAGAGTAGAGATAGTAGTATTAATAGCAGCAGTAGTACTAGCTGTAGCTGTAGCAGTAGCAGTGTTGTTATATAACTATATAAATAAACTGCTACAACATGGCTCTCCCAGGTTTTCTCTAGCTTCTCTGATCCAACCTCATTTGTTATTTATGAAGCGTTTTCTAGATGTCAGTATCACACTGTGTCTCTATTGATGTGTGTGTGTATGTGTGTGTGTGTGTGTGTGTGGGTGGGAGGTGTTTACTGTACAGATTGCTCCCAATTTCAAAGTGTGATTTGGTGACTGAGAGGTTGTTACATTCTACATTCCTGCTCTCCTACGTGCACAAACACACGCCAAGAACACACACACACACACGCTGAGATACACAAACACACACACACACACACACACACACACACACAGTGATTATTATTCATGAACTTCTGTTTGTTAGCCAAAGCAGCGTGGTGGAGAGTGAAGGAAATATCAACTATTTATACAAAACCTTGAGGGCCATGTTTGGTTTGTTTCTGCCAAATGAACCTGAGAGGATAACATGGCGGAGTGATAATCCTCTCACAGCTGAATGATGATGATACCTCCGCCAAGCGTGATGGGTAACAGCAGGGCTGCGGTCAGCTCGCTGACCCCGTTAAGTAATCCCTGCCTTACTTTATTTATTTCGGGGTTTTTTGTCATTTTTATGACCAGAAAATGTGAAATGTTGTTTTCTCAGGATTTGTCAGTAGGTTTGTGAAGTCTCAGTCTGGGCTGATGTGTGGACGTGTTTTCAATCAGCTTCCTACTGATTAAACTGATATAAGCAAATATACTAAAGTACTATAGTTAAGTAAAATTTTCAATGTACTCGTTCTTTACTTGAATATTTCTCCTTCATGCTACTTTTTACTTCTGCTCCATCACATTTATTTCACAGCTATAGTTTAGTTTAGTTTTCATTTGATCATTTTCTGCAAGAAAACAGTCATGCAGTTTCCTACAGACCAATGTGACATCTTGAAGAAGTCAGAAACAGCAGATATTTGACATATTTGCCTAAAAGCTTTAATGATTCTAAATGTCAGGCTGCAGTACCTCAGGGCTCCAGGTGGAGGAGCTGTCTGTGGCGTCATTTCTGTCGCGATCCACGGCCTTCTCTGTGTCCTCGCTGCCGTCCGCGGCCTGCCGGTTCATACTGGGGGCGGGACTGTCCATGGTGCCCGACGCCTCGACCCCGGTGGGTTTGTCCAGAGAGAGAGCGGACGCCCTCTCGCGTTCCTCTAGTGCTGCAGAGAGCGGGTCCTGGAAACCCTGCCGGGTCTGAGCCTCCGTTTCTGCAGGAGGAAGGCAACAGTGTAGGAAAGTCAGCATTAGGCCTCCTGGTGGCTGGTCTTAAATCTGTGGGTGTAAGGACAGTGAGTCTGTGAGCAAGGAAGTAATCTCCACTTCTTGTCCGCTCTGCCGTCTTGGTGGACGTTGCATGCAGTTTGTGAGGAAGCCTGATCCTCTTATAATGAGGATGGTCCTACATTCAGGCCAATACGGTACCTCTTCTGCATGTGCGGTGCATTTGGTGTGTGCTATGAGCCTCATTGTAAGCGTCAATGCTACGCAACATGGCTGGTGTGTTTCACTTTAACGGCCTGATAACTTAGAGTTAATGAAATTAATTACATGTAATGAACGGTAGGTAATTAAAAGATTTCGGTTGATTTCTGGTCTTAGAGTAATGGTGTGTTCAAATGTACAAAATTGCACACAACGTGTAACGTGTCAACAGAGGCAAGTTTGCTCTAGGTGGAGGGAAATAAGGCGAAGGCATGTCTGTGCAAGATCAAACATTTGTATTTATTGCATCTTATAAAATACTTCATAAAGGTGCAAGTACCCGTAGTCAGTGAGAATGTTGCTAGCCATCTGAAGCTAATGCCTGTGCAGTCCAGTGCGACAATTCAGAGGCACATTCATGCAAACAACGGCAGAAATTTCCCAATGTCTGAACAAGCCTCAAGACTGAATGTAAAAATAACTGACAGAACAAAACTAATTGTGGCTTTGCTTCAAACCAACAGGTCACTTACAGAGACAGTAAAGATGATAAATACATCACTCTTACCATCTCAACGTCTCCTTTGGTAAATTATCTAATTTAGTCTCAGGGAATCGAAAAGAAGCTTCCTAAACCTTGTTTGGCGCTGCTGTGTGTTAACAGAGGAGATATTGTGTAATCTGTCAAACCTTGGCCTTTTCCTGAGACAGAAAGACTCGGAGAACAGGCCGTACCTCAGACCAATCAATAGCAATTATCTCCAATTCACTGTCATTAAGGTGGTTCTGACTGTTACATCAATGGCTGCATAGAGGGTTCACCATAGCAACAAGCTGAGGTGAGTCACCAGCCCGTGTGTGTGTGTGTGTGTGTGTGTGTCTGTGTTACCTTGTACATTTGTGGTTTATGTCACTGCACTGATCACATATTGGTTAAAGACAATAAATAAATACCAGTTGAGACAGAGTGACCCAGACCAAACAATGTCACCACCCACCAACAGCCAGATGCTCATTTAACAAGACTAGGTTTAAACCTAGTATATGGCTGGACCGTGTGTCACTGGGTCGTGTATGGCCTCCTCCTCATGAGGATGTATGCTGGATACGATCATACAAAACTACTAGGTGAACCACCAAGGCCCCCCCGGTTAATTGTTAATTTAATAGCAGCCAGAAGCCGTGAACACAACATTGACATACAATCACCTTTTAAACTGATATGGCTATAATACTGTATATGGTCAGTGTTGCAGACAGCCTGTAAGTGAGTTAACCAACAGCCTATAGAGGACACCAAAGTTTTCATCTTGCTATTCCTCCTGTGTAACTTTATATTGGTTCGACTTGAGGTTTCTGTAAAGGTCTGTGCTAATCTGCTACTCTTTTTATTTATCAACATTTATACAGTACATGTAAAAGTGTGTGAGACTTTGGTTTGATTTGTTTGGTGGGAAAATCACTAATAGTGAAAGTGTCACATGATTCAAGCTCAGACGATAATAAAATTTTAGGGACCACTTTACTTAAACTTTTGGCAAAGTGCATTTCATACTGAACTACATAAGTTCCCAGAATAAAATAAAAAAATATAGAAAAATATGTTGATCAATCACCATTAAATTATTTATGTTGAAAACAACAATTAAACAGTAAAAGCGGAATAAAAATTGCCTGCTTTGTTTGCTACTTCCTCCTCCTCTTTGGGTTGTTCTTAAAAACACACAACTGGTGTACAAACATGTGTCCTAATTAATGCTGCTGCCTGTCCACACTCACCCAGCCACAGCACTCCAGTCATGCTGAGCCTCCCTGAGCTCTTTACAGCCTCTAATCTGCAGTAAAGATGCTATTTGGAGCTTTTTGGCTCATTGACACTGGGATGGATTAGAGCAGGATCTTGCTGGTTTTCTGTTTGATGGAATTTCGAGTCTCTAGTTTGAAAGCAGTAAAATGGTGAAACCTACAGCTCTACCTAATCCCTCTCATGTAGCATGAGTAAAATGAAGTGTTTTATGATGGGGGCTTCTTTGGAGAAGGGCATCAATCAGAGTCTTGGATTGCCTCTGGGTATATGTCATCATATCACCCAGTTGTACTGTAGTGTGTTACACCACACCTTCACAGTCTGATGGCTCGGTGCTGCCCTCCTCCTGGTCCGACAGTCGGGTGAACTTGTGGCGTCGACCCAAGGGCAGCTGAGTCTGCTGGGACTGCGGTTCACCTCCGCTCGCCACTGCAGTGCGAAAGCTCTGTGAACGTGACACAGAGATCTCGAACTGCTTCAGGATCTCGTCCTCGCTGTCGGAAGAGCTGATGCCATCATCGTCATCGTCGCCGTAGCTGTTCACTGGGGGGAGATAAACACAGGGAAACACAGGGGTTGACAAACAGGAAAAGCTGGGAGTTGGGAGATCAGGAGTAAAAGGAAAGAGAGGAGAGGAAATCCAGGAGGAAGGAAACACCTGAGTGAGTTTTTAACAGGCTGACTCAAGTACTTTTGGCCTCAATTACAGATTAAAAACATTTGTTCATTGCTTGATCCTGGACACACTGATGGGTGGTGACAAATTACAGAAAACTGAAAGAACGACATAAAAAATTAGTGGAGCAACATAAGTGAAATAAATGAAACCTCATCACTACGCAGACGACACAACTCTATTTTTCTCTAGTGCTCCAGCACTGCAACAGTTTAAATTGTTTAAACAAAATGCCTGAAGGAAATGACAGCTTCCAAATTAAATTAAGACACGATCGAAATAATAGTTATTGGGGCTGAATCTAACAGAATACATTTTAAATGGAGTTAAAGTTGGTTCTCCTAAATATGGGCAATGGGCTTTTCTTGCTGAATCCTAATATTTGAGCTACAAATAAAAAGTTTCAGCAACACTGGAGCTGAAATATTGGACATATCAAACCATACCCAGGGTACCCAATACCCAGAGCTGAAAAAAAGTAGCCTACTCCCAACTGTGTTTATTGGGTAAAAAAAGTTGTCTAATCTGCTTTTTTAATTACAGTTAATGTTCTCCTAATAAAATGCTAGAATTGAGCATCAGACTACAAATAAGAACATAAAGACAGTAGTACACAGTCTGGTGGTGCTGGGGGAGGATTCAACAGTCTGTCTACCTGCAAGCTGTTTTCATTAATGGACTATGACTGATCTATAAATCATTGGTAAATTATTTATTAACCATCAATAAAAGCAGTAATTACATCTTAACAACCCTTAAATGTTGCCTTATTGGAAAGTGGTACCAAGAGTATTTTTGTTCTCTCAGCAGCAGACTGGGTTCCACCAGCTCTCAGGTACAGTATATTAAAGCCATTCTTTGCTGAGGGGGAGTAAGATTATTGCTCTTTTATGAGACATAAATGCTCATAAAATGAGAGAGGACATATAAACTCAAACACTCACTCTCTCTTTCAGTCAGTTCCTGATGAAAAACACAGATCCTGTTAGCGTTAAAAGGGTTGGAGGGTCACTCCACTCGCATCATAATGTGACCATAATTGGATAGCAACAGCTGAATGAGTGACGCAGCGGTGGGGCGATCAGCCCACCCACCACCACCACCTTTTTTGCTAAAGTGCAGGTCATCATCTCTACCTGAGTGATCGCCATGGTTACCTACAGAACAGGAAGCTACTCTGAGTGGGCGAGTGACGACTGATTGGTCTGTTAACTTCTGTCTTGTAAAGCTATTCACAGGCGGAAGCTCTCAGAGCGAAGTAATGTGGCTCAGTGATTATGTGCAAATGTAACACACGCACACACACACAAATACATACATACATGTACAGATGCACAAGGTGTTTTTCTTATGTAAAAGTAGCCAAATTATCATAAAAAAAGAGAGACAATTGGGTTGCCTTATGTCCCACCATGACAGAAAGAACATGTTCACAGTACAAGTAGTTTTCCATCAAGAATACTGACACAAGTTTCAAGAAGTTTAAGTTTTATCTCATTTATATTAAATGTGTTCCAAAATCTAATCGTGTACTCCGTATGGAGTTAAAGTATTCTCAGTAAAATGTCTATAAATAAATGTGACTACTTTCTGAACAACAGCGCACTCAGAATATTATTCAGTGAGGTATAAATGAAGAAAAGAGGAATAGAAAACTTAAAACAACTGGCACCAGAATTGACCCATTGACGATTTTCTGTTGTAAAACTACACTTTGAAAACAGATAACAGTCAACATACATTCTAGTCAGTCTGTGTACATAGACCTCTCCCTGAAATAAACATCATGGAAAGTTAAACAAAACAAATAGCCAACCGTTTGGGCGTGTGGAAGAAGAATTGCTGTACTAAAAAGGCTAAAAATCACTGTTTCTTTTCTTTTTTTTCTCAGTTCTCATGTATAAACCTGTTGAACTCACAGGCTGGTGCATGCATTAGCTGCATTTCCACTGGTCTTTATTTACTATAATTACTATCTACACTTCTGTCCTTAAGTGAAAAGCACCACATATTGCTTGCACTGCAAATACTGGAACTTTTATTAACTACAAAGCTCATCCCCATTTTCTATGTCTGTTCGTCTGCAATCGTCTTTAACCTTGTACATTATGGTGAAAAGCATAACGTGTGAATAGGGACTCACTGAAATGTGAAATATCCTTGCAGGGCAGAAAGGCAGTGGTTCTTTAGTGAAAGAAAAATGGAAAAACTAATCTTTTAAGCCCAACTCTGAAGGTTTAATTAAATTAAATGTACTAAAGTAAACAGGTGAATGAGTTAGACAATCTTTTCAGAAATCCTGACTACTGAATTTCATAACCTTTCAGATAAAGCAAAGAAAATGAGGGGTCATCAACCTAAAACCTCAACATAGTGTTAGTGAATGTTTTGTCCTCATGTGTCACACTTTGTTTAAAGAAAGCCAAATTAATTGAAAGTGACAAATCAGCTTTTCACTGATCTTTGTACAAAAAAAAAACTACATAGCACATAGTTTGTCTGTATTTGTGGTTGAAAACGTAAGAGCCCCTACCTCGTCCTGTGACTCTCCAGAGGATTTTGAGTTGTCAGTGTTATGGAGAGACTCCAAACAGGATGTGCTGTTTGTTCAGGAAACCAACTGGAAATACCAGAGACTCCACCTGCTGCAGGTGAGGAACCAACAAACCAGCTCAGTGTTTGCTCAGCGTTTGACTCACAGTCTCCACCTGGATTTATACTTCCTGCTGGTGGGAATGTGATGTTTTAGATGTAATCGAAAAATCTGTAAGGTTTTCTGAGTGTGATTTCAGGTTTAAAGAAAAAAAAAAAAGAAAAACGACTATCACAGAGCTGAAACTTGGATCTTTGAGTTACAGTGACTCACAGGTGCTGAGCCAGAATTAAATCAGTGTGCAGGATTTACCCTCTTCAGCCCACATGGAGGAAGCTCTCAGTAAAACAGTGTTTTATTACCATGACTGCCAAAGCTTTTTCTGTAGGACTCAACAGTGACGTGATACTCCAGTCAAAATGTTAAATTCGGCATTTTGGGAAATGTAGTTCTTCGCTTTCTTGTTGAAAGAGGAGAAGATTGAAACTACTCTCACAGAAACTGAACCTTAAAATGAGGTTAATTAGGACTTCTGTAACTTTGTGATGTCACAACAAAACAGTCATTGCCCTCAGCCATGCTCCAAGCCCCGCCCACCCGGACCCACCATCCACGTGGCTCTCGATTTCCAGGTAAACATGAACTAAGATATGGTTTTTGCAGTTTAAAAAGGTTTCAGAATTGGAGTCTTTCCTGCATCACAAACTGCATGGCCAGTACAGTACAGGAGGTCCAATCATCTAAAAGTTTGCTAAAATATGGCTAAAACCCTGACTCCGTGTCAGCCACAAAAAGCTCTGATGTTCGCAAAATCAGCCTTGGACAGATGAAAAAAATACCGGTATGGTCCTTTAACTTCTCAATTATTTAACCTTAAAAACCTTTGCTCTGGGTGTTTGCATTGTTTGACAAGTGGGAGGAAAAGAAAGAGTTTCACTGGATGATAAAGCGACAAACCGAGTGTCCAGTTCTCTGTTTCTCTCTGAATGTACTTTTTTCTTTCTGCTGAATTTTTCTTCAAGGTTTTACAGTAAATATTTTTCATTGTGAGCTGTTGCAGAGCTTTGTTGCAGTGTGTGGCTGACTCACTTGACTCTTTCTCTCATGCATACAAACTCGCCCACAGAAACCTACTGTACAAATACAAACTCACCCACGTTCTCTCTCTGTTCCTGAAGCGTTTAATTGGAGTCATGGTGGAGACGCAAACATTCTTTTTCAGGTTATATAATAATTAACCTTGACTAGAAAGCAACACTGCTCACTGCTATGTCTCATATGTAATTTAATAGTTTCTTTTTGAGAGTGAGATGAGATGATTGGTATCTCTGTGTGTTAATTACAGATCTGGAGTCAGCACATGGCTAGCCTAGCTTAGCATAAAGACTGGAAACTGGGAAACATTTAGCCCGTGCATCCTGCTTGTTGAACCTGAGTGTAAACAGAAGCATAAAAACGAGGTTTTAGGGAGAGTTTTAACAAACTCCACCCGCTCATGAAGAGCATGTGCTGTGGAACAAAAGCTCCAGAACAGCTATTTAAATAAACCTTGAGGTGAGTCAACTACTGAGTGGAAGTTAAAGAAAAAGAAGAACAAAATTTGACCAACTACAACTCAATGGCAACTGGGCAAATTCCCTCTGCTGATGAAGGTCATGTGATATGACCAAAAGCTTCTGAACAGCTACTAAAAGTCATCGCAGTGAAGTTGCCAAGTTTGGTACCATCATTCCTGTAAAGAGACCAAAAACCTGAGCTCACAGAGAAATATTCATATGACCAAAAAGACCAAGACACTAACTGTTGTAGGAAGCGAAAACCTGACTGTGGTCTCCGCCGTTAGTCACACACTTTGACCTGCAGCCTACATGGTGACAGACAACATTTATAATTCACACGGCCACTAGAGGTCCTTGTCTGTCAAAGTAGAGAGATCATACATGTTCTCTGTATGTGGGTCACTCACCGAGCCCCTGGCGAGCTCCCAGTCGTCCTTTCTTCCGGCGGCCATGTTGCTCCAGACAGGGCAGTCCGCCGACACGTGAGAAACACAGCTTCTTGTTGATGAAGAGGAAGAGGACGGCCAACGCCACGATGAAGACGCCCACTGCCGACAGGAAGCCGATGGCCTCTGGAGTGACTGGTAGGAGGAGGGAGAGGGAGAGGGGACACACAATGACACACTGATCAGACCACACAAACAGACAGCCTGGACACACACACACACACACACACACACACGTACGCACACACACACAGTACACATGGTACATGTGATGCACACACAGACAGAACGAGTGACACTTTAGTATGTGAGTTACCCTCAGTGCCTTGATCAAGAGCAGAGTCAGTGTAAAAATGGCTGGTGTGCAGCTGATGGAAAAAAGACAGCTCCCCCGGTCAGTTTTGGGGTTGAACCAGCAGCTCAGTGTCTTGCTCAAGAGCACCTGATGGGTAGTTTTATTAAGCAGAAACTTTTCCTCCTGTCGTTTGGTTATTGTTCACAAGATATTCCTAATTTTTTCCTGTATTTCCTGTACTCATTTGAATTTGCATTGCCCTCAACTGACCCTTCGAAAAGCCCCGCCCCCTCCTTACTTACTGTTGCTATGCTTGTAAAACATTCCTTTCTCCACATATGCAGTTTATGGTAACCGCGGCAACAGCAATGAGACGTTAAGTTTGCCGGCTAAATGTGTCCAGCTGAGTTGTTTTCAGAACAAGTACACGTGATAACTACACACACATGACATCATGCTAAAAGAGGCTAAAGCTACACGCTCCGTGGTCAGTTCAGCGTCTTCACCAGGACTGGGATTCTCCAGCAAGCAGAGCTTCAATGTAAAATACGGAGAAATGTGATAGGCATCTAAAATCACAGCTTGACTTTCCTATTTGGGTAGTGAGTCCAAGTTTCCCAATTTTCCTTTCTCGGTTTTTCTTTGCATTTGTCAGGTTTTCTTTGTGTTGGTCAGTTTTTGAGTTTGGCCGTCACGGTAGATGGACAAATGTTTTTGGGGTGGGGATTCTGTGTCTTCTATTGGACTGAAACTAAAAGGGTTTTCATCATTTATTTCTGAATTGAATTGTTTATATAAATACCTGTGGTGATTAGTACAGAGGAGATTGGCAAGCATTCCTCCATTACAAATTCTTTGCATAAAAATATCAGAGAACTTTCGAAGAATATAAATAAATGTAATGGAAAAGATGAATGAAAAGAAAGAAAGAAAGAAGAAAACTGCAGATAGAAAGAGATTTAAAAAAAAAGAGGCAGAAAAACAGATCAAAATAGAAAGAAAGAAGTGAGGAAACAGAACCAAAGACAGAATGGAAAAAGAGAGAAACTGTGGTAGAGATAAACGATGAGCTGTAAGGTGATACGAGGCATACTCTGCTCTCAATGAGGCGTCTGAGACTCCTTCAGTGCAGATGAATAGAAATGCATAACAGGGGGTCGCCGTATCCCGTTTCCACGGTAACATTTCAGCGAGCAGAGAAGTGAATCAATGAGAGCAAATGGAGACGAGTACGCATCCTGCTGAGAGCCGACGCCAAAGAAAGGACTCCACAGCGTAGGTGAGTGTGTGTGTGTGTGTAATAGTATTATTGTTATTTGTTTCATAACCTTTTGTTTTGTCACGCTGATGATACTCTCTCTCTCTCTCTGTTATTTTTAGGAATCTAAACTCCAACCACTTTGCAGATGTATCTTATTAATCTGCATCCAAAACATCCTCTCAGATCACCAAGCAACAGTGTGTGTGTGTGTGTGTGTGTGCGTGTGTTAATAAAATGCAATGTTAGCTGCTGCTTTCTTTTAAAACTTTATCACGCGTATTAAAATGTATTCGGTCCATTCAGTGTTACACAAAGGTTTTGTGACAGAAAATCTAAATCCAGTTTTAGAAAAACAATATCAGTTCAGTTATTGACGACGTTAGCTGGTCAGGAATGTAAACATGTCTGCCTCCACATTACAATGAATTCATCGTATTCATCCAGAAGTGATGAATTTAGCAAAGTTAGCTTGCTACAGCGATTGAATGGAGCAGAAGAGAAAACATATTCATCAATGGCAGGAAACACAACATGCAAAAGAACATGACCTGCAAGTCGCATGGACATGAGTTATAAAGATATATTACAACAACAGTTTCTGGGGGACATTAGAAAGTAATGAACCCCTGTGACATGCCATACTGTATGTTGCCATGGTGTTTGTGACTCATGAACTCAACTACCCATCCAACAATACAAAAGTCTTTTCAGCTTTTCTCTGATTCTGATTGCGTTATTCAGGTTAGAGCCAACCTGGTCTACACAAAATGTAATGTATTGATTTAGTGTACATGGACACAGTGAATACGCAAATACTGAAAATCATTTAACGTCACCACCAAACACCATCTGCAAACTCAAACCCCCTCTACCTACAATGTGATGGGAAAATTTGTCTTTTTTAAAGCGAACAGGAGACGCCGCTGCGGTTAGCACTTCTCCTGCAGACGACTCACTTTCTGTTCAGCTGCTGTTCACTCCCACAGAGAGAGAGAGATGTCTGGAAATGTTAACACATGACAGATGCAGCAAGGGAACACTTCTGCACTGGTTATAACCCTGTCCAAGTTTCACTTTAAAAAAACATCACCTCCACCTACTCTGTCCTCACATACACATTTATGACGACAGCAAAAGAAAAGATGCTCCTACTGCAACTCACAAACAGACCTGGAGGACATGATTATCTGTGTTGTCGATGTTTTTTTTTTTATCAGTTTTTATCCAAACTACCTGATGGACACTTTGGTCCAGAGTGAAATACCCTTACAACTATTGGACTGATTGCCATGAATTGTGGTACAAAGGTTCATGGTCCACAGAGGATGCATTCATCAACTGAATTTGCTCATCCAAAGATCATCCAAGCAGCAACCTGCAGGCCTGAAAATGTGCCGAAAACTGCAGTTCATCAAATGACCACTCGAGGATGACTCCAAAAGCGAGTCAGTCCCCATAGACTCTCATGTGGTCTCTATAGTTAATTCCCTCCTTCATGAAGGACTGTACATGGGGTGAATTTTTATATAACTCTCCTGTTTAAATTTTATTAAGGCTGAAAGTTTTGCATAATTGAGGCCGTGGCCGCTTTGAGTGACAGGTGGGTGAGCTAATGTTCACCACAAACAAAGTATCAGCTCCAAACATGCCCCACCTCTTTGCCCAGAGTTGCCTCTCAGCCCGGATTTAGGGGTGGAGTCAGGCACTGCCAAGATGGCAACGGTGGAGCAGCTCACTCTGAGCCTCAAAAACGCTCTTCAGAAACATGTGGGTGACGTCAGGGAGGCTACGTCCATCTTTATTTCTTCTCAATGGCAGCAACTCTCTACTAACACTTCTGAAACTACAATGAACATATTTCTGTCAGTCTCTGAAATGACAAATGGGAGTATCAGATTTACTGTATTTTATAGCACAAGCTCATCATAGAATGTGGAAGAGGTTCTTTATCTATCCAGATACACTGACATGCCAAAATCAGCATGTTACACTCACATGTTAAATTTGTACCTGGACAGAATAATTACAAAAACAAATACTAGTGTTTTTTTCTTTTACTAAACTGTACCTGATGCTACTTGGCATTAAGATCTGACTGGATTAACATTAGGCTGTGAATGTGACACAAATAAATCCCCTAATGAAGTGAACACAGTGCGACAGTTATTGTTTGGACGGTGTGTTTGTGTGCAGCAGTAAAGTGGAGTTTCCCTCTCAGCTGCTCTGACAGTCAGACACTGAGCTCAGTGTTGGAGACTCAGAGCCTCCTACTGTCTGCATCCAGATGGACAGGAAGAAACCCTGGGTCAAAGTCTGGCCTCACACCTGCTGCACACACACTCATTCAAAATGCAAAGATTCCCCTCCAACACACACACATCATTATACACTCACTAAACTTTTATAAGGGATACAACTACTGATTATCTACAGTATAAATTAATCTGTTGATCGATTAATTGAGTCCGAAGTGACATCTTCAGGTTGCATGTGTTTGATTTTAGAAATACTGAGGTCTGGATGACTCAAGTGCCGCCCCTGCATCCTCTAGTCTGTATAACACTAATGAGACAACGAAAACATGACCCTGTAAGTAACACTAGGTCACTACTGTAGGTAGTCCAGGTCGAGGATACTTTTATTGTTTCTCAAGGGAGAAAGTTGCCTCGGATTAAGGAAACTGCTGCATAAAAAACCAAATGTCACAATAAAACACATTAGATAAGAACATACACTAAGAGCTGAGATAAAAAAAAAAAAAATCTTTCTTTAAACTACAAGCGTTCTGAGCATACAGGACATAAATTTAAAGCAAACAAACACATCTCTATTTACATGCCGTGCGTCTGAGGAGCTGCCCATACACAGAGGGACAAATGAATGTCTGTAACGACTGCTTACACAAGGCGACCCTGTACCTCCCAGAATTCAATAGCACATACAACAGTGCTTAATCCTCTCTTTACACCTTTTTCTCATGTTTTTTGAAAAACATAAAAACCGCCTCAACCCTCCAAACTCTTTGTCTACTGAGTCTCAGCTGCAGTACATCCTCATACTCAAGACTTAAACATGTGGAGGAAGGGTTTGTATTTCCAGTGAATATTTGTAACAAACAGAGGAAGATTCCTCATGTTTTTGGTGACGATCTGACCTTTCCATAATGACTGCAGATGATGGTGATGATGTTTCAGTCCATTCCTGAGAGGAATGATGAGTTTGTTTTAAAGTACTTCTCCAGACATGTTTTAAACGTCTGCTATAATTAAGATTTTATTTAAAATGGTTTTCCCCACATAAAAAGTGAAGAATAAAATCGAAAACAGGGGCTGGAAGCTCATCAACTTCCACATTGAGAAATTCTGGATCAGGCCTCGTGCCCTGCCCACCACCATCTGCTGGCTCCAGGTGGACAGGTGAAAGAGCAGAGAGTATCAAGATGGTCAGAGGAGGAAACATCAGAGAGACTCAGCCACATGTTTGAGCCTCAGTCAGACCCAGACTCAGATGAGGAGTCTGTTAAGACCAGAATCAGAGACTAGCAGAACGGTTAGCGTAGTTAGCATCTTTTATTTGTTT